TAGCTTTGATTGCAATTGTGCAATCCCAACTTCTGCTCAGATTGCTGTCTCATGGATATGAGTGTTCAAAGGGATGTGCGGAGTGTCCCAGGGATCCACATATTTGTGTCCCTACAGATTGGTTGGCTGTCTGATGGCAGGGCTCCATACAGTGTGTCCACTCTCAGGGTGATGGAAACTTTGTGCTCACATCTGTGTGCTAGAGCCCTTGCTGTTGCCTCTCTGTCTTCTGGACAATCCACACTGTTGCAGCCAATACCAAGACACTGCAGTCTGAAGATAGGCCTTCACGGTCAAGTACTGTTCAAGGTTAGCTGTAAGGCCATCTACAGCTTCTCCCACTGAAGGTGGGAAGCCTTTTGTAGGAGAACAGGGACAGGCAAAGGTACACCAGGGACAGGTATTAGGAGAATTGACATGGATGATTAGTTAATTTTTAAAAGCAATACAGATTAAGATTTTCATTTGGTTTTTAAATGTTTATTTTCTGGTGGCTTTTAGTTTGTTGCATTTTGGCCACACAGATACTGCAATGGTCAGTAACAGAGGAGACGGTGTGAACTATTGACGGTGCTGGTATCACTTCAGTTAGTTCTTCTCATACATTCCAAGAGAAAGGAGATGTGTTCCTTCCAACTCCTTCTCTTCCACTGCCTCACTGTCTGCTTTCTCCTCAATCTGCCTCTCCTTCTGTGTCTTCCCCTCAACTCCTTACTTGACCAGTGGTGTTAAAGGCTATTCTCGCATGAAGGTGAGGATGAGCAGAGCGCTATCCTAAACCCTGTGACTTGCTCAAGACAGAGAGACAATACTTGAGACAGATGCATTTCACTCAAGAGGTCACGGTGGCTCAGTGGTTAGCACTGCTGCCTCACAGCGCCAGGGAACCCGAGTTTGATTCCACCCTCGGGCGACTGTCTGTGTGGAGTTTGTACGTTCTCCCCGTGTCTGCGTGGGTTTCCTCCAGGTGCTCTGGTTTCCTCCCACAGTCCAAAGACGTGCAGGCTAGGTTGATTGGTCATGCTAAATTGCCCGTAGTGTTCAGCGATGTGTAGATTAGGTGGGTTATAGGGGGATGGGTCTGGGTGGGATGCTCCAAGGGTCGGTGCGGACTTGTTGGCCTGAAGGGCCTGTTTCCACACCGTAGGGATTCTATGATTCTTAGGGGATTCGACAGAATAAATGCAGAAAAGGTTGTTTCCCTTTGTGGGAAAGTCTAGGACCAGAGGGTATCGTCTCAGAATGAGGGATTGCCCGATGAAGATGAGGAGGAATTTTTTCTCTCATTAGGTCATTACTCTTTGAAACTGTCCACCTTAGAGAGCAGTGGAGGTTGATGGGAAAAGGGTGCAATCTACACATGAAAGGTTCCACGGTCCCGTGTCAAAAAAGAGCAAGGGAGTAGCCCTGACCAAGATTTTAATTGACACCATTAAGAAAAGATTAGCTGGTCATCGTCATGTTGGTGTTTCCGGGAATTTGACCGAGTCCAAATTAATTGCAGCATTTCCAATATTACAATTGTGATTCCATTTCACAAAGTATTTCATTGGCTGCAAGACATTTTGATACATCCATCGTTCCGAAAAGTGCTCTCTAAGTTTCTTTTCAAATTCTCTGAAACTTAAATTTAAAGTCATTTTCAGGAACAATTCTTTGTGTTAGGCTGTCTTCTCAGGTTCTCTATTATCAGAATAAAAGGTTTATTACAAAATATGTTGTTTCTTTTAATGGCTCCTCCTTCAAAACCGAAAACTCTTACCAGAAATTTTCAAATGTCTATGGTGCACCATAGACATTATTTTCTCCAAATATCCCATAACGAAAACAACTTCTGCATGCACTCTCATTTGCATTTACCTGCTACCCAATCTGTCATCTGAATATGTATGTGGAAAGAGACCAAGTCCCAATAAGGGCATGTTGCAGAACATCAGGACTGTCTTGGAAAATTAAAGCTGTTAAATTTTATTTTTTACATTAAATAATAATTGATATAGAACTGTGCTCACCTCTTTTATTGAAGTAAATAAAATTGGCTAATGCAACTCTGTTAATTAAATGAAGATAGCTTCATCTCTAACCCCTAACCTGACCCAGGCTAATGGGATAAAAGTCTGTCGCTGACAGCCATAAGCATGGTGAGTTTCGGGAATTACAATCCCAGTCGCAGTTGGGCATAACCCAAAAGATTCAGTCATCAAAGACTCTTCCCACCCTAGTTATACTGTCTTCCTCCCTCTTCCATCAGGCAAAAGATACAAAAGCTTGTATACACATATGAACAGATTCAAGAACAGCTTCTTCTCCGCTGTTATCAGACTTTTGAATGGACCTCTTTAATGTTATATAAAAACCGAAAGGTCCTTTGACCATTGAGAAGTTTCTCCCTCTTGATTTTGAAACTAACAAATCTCCTCTTTGCCTTCTCTTCTCCAAGGAACACAAACCCAACCTCTCAAATCTATCTTCATAAAATGTCTCATCCTTGGAAGCATTCATGTGAACTTGCAGTCTCTGATGCATTCACATGCTTCTCAAAGTGTGGCACCCGGAACTGTATGCAATACCTATAGTCTATACAGTTTCTTATACAAGTTCAGCTTATCCTCCACTTGTACTCTATGCTTATATTGATAACGCCTGTATGCTTTATTAGCTTCTCTCTCCACTCATCTTGCCACGTTTAATGGCTGATGCAAATATATGCCCAGGTCTCTCTGTCCTGTACACCCTTTAGTATAGCAGCCTTTACTGTATGCTGTCTGTCTGTATCCTTTTTACCAAAGTGTCGTACTTTGCACTTCTCCGCATTGAACTTCATCTGCTACCTATCAGCCCACTCCACCAATTTGTCAATATCCCTAACACTCTATATTTAACTCCTCACAATTGACAATGCTCCCAAGTTTCGTATCATCCACAAACAAAGCATGGGGAAAATACGCCAAAGTGGAGGAGATTGAGCCCTTGTAGGTGGTGCTGTCCCAGCACGGCTAAGCACTTCAGAAAGACTGTTGAAATTTTAGCTTTATTTATTTATCTTTTTCCTCTATACTAAGAGTGATTGTATTGTTTAACTTTTCACTTTGTTCCTTATTTCTTTCTACCTTGTTCTTAAGTTTTGTTGTACCTCGGTACTTGTACCTAAGATAGTGTGCAGCGACATTGAAAACTTTTCACTGCACTCCTGTAATTTTGTACTTGAGTACACGTGACAATAAAGTCTAAATCTAAATCTAACTTTGAACTTGTCCCCTATACGCCAAAGTCAAGATCTTTAACATTTAGACCAGGAAAAGCAGGTGTAACAACGCTGACCCCTGGACAACTCCACTAGAAACTTTCTTCTAGCATGAAAAGTATCCATTAACAATTACACTCTGTTTTCTATCTCTCAGCCAGTGTTGTATCTACATTTCTGCTGTTCTTTTTATTCCTTGAACTCAAATTTTTGGTCCCATTTCTGCTGTGCCAATACAGTTCTGTTTCCTCCTACTCCACTATCAGTCTCATTCCTGCTATTCCAGTCCCAGTACAGAAACTCCAAATTCTTTCTCTCGAATCTAGAATGATCCAATGAATGAATTCAGCAAATTATCAATTCGCAGTGTGTTCTGATCAGTACGCTTCAGCTGTGCACTGGATAAAATTGGAGAAAAGATGAAAACTTATTAAAACTCTGAGTGAATAAAACTTTGTGATGTTTTAACAGTAGAACTGGGGACTCAGTTATACAATGGACTTGAATTCTGTCTTTTACTTTTGGAAGGAGATTCAACTCTAATAGAGACATCTGGAATGAAAATCTCCTAATTGTGCGGTATGGGTCCCCAAAAAAGGCAAGGATATGTTGTAGGACTGTCTGCTTCCAGCACACACCACACTGGATATGAAATTTTGGGATTAGCGCTCTCCTGAGTGTCCCATTTCATAGAATCCCTACAGTTTGGAAGCAGGCCATTCAGCCCATCAAGTCCACACCAACCCTCCAAAGAGCATCCCACCCCCCACCCCTGTAACCCTGCGTTTCCCATGTCTAACCTACCTAGCCTGCACATTCCTGGGCGCTATTGGCAATTTAGCATGGCCAATCCGCCTAACCTCACATCTTTGGACTGTGGGAAACCGGAACACCGGGAGGAAACCCACGCAGACACAGGGAGAATATGCATATGCCACAAAGCCCCAGGGTGGAAATGAACCTGGGTCCCTCGCACTGTGAGGCAGCAGTGCTAAACATTGAGCCATGGTGTCACCCTTTTGTGGTCCTTTTGGTCAAGATTTCACAGCAAGAGTTATCATTCTCTAAACAACCACCCCATATACACCTCAAGGGATATCTAGCCCCAAAAGAGAACCTATAAAGTCATTCCATGTGGGAACTGTAAACTCAAACTTGCTCTCAAGCACAATACTTCTGTCTCCCGAGAATAACAGATAACCATTGTAGTGAAATGAGGCCAATTGTGAGGCAGTCAGCTATCTCAACAGTAACGTTCTCTAACATGCCAACATTACAACCAGAAAATCACACATGCTATACTTTCTGTGTACTGAAATAGGCACACTGCCATAACTTTTTCCCCTAATAGTCATTGTCCTAATTTGTATTTTTGAAGAAAACATATGGAAAAGAGACCTTGAAGGTTCAAATTATTCCTAGCCTGTCATTTCCTTCACAGCTCAATGTTAAGCCATGGAAACCAATTTACAACAGCATTGTAAAATAGTGATGCTGGGCTTGATTGTATTTTCCTCATGAGATTTCCATACTCTTGCAGTGTTTGTTGGTTTAATAGCGTAGGTATGTTTGGCTTTGATTTAAATTATGTAGGTATTACTTTCTAACTTGGAACATGGCCTATTCTCAGACTCGGAGCAAAAATAATTTTCATCAAAGCTCCCAGATGATTCACTTTGATGGACCTGTTAATAACAGTGCACTTGCCTTAGATACGTGGTTCAATCACTCGCTTTCATTTGCCTTTCTATTTCAGGTGCTGACATCGTGCAATGGTTGATGAAAAGCCTGAACATCGAAGATCAAGGTAAAGAAACACTGGTGATTATGAGTTTAATTAAAAAAAACTGTGAGATTCTCTAATTGTAGTTTTAATTTGAACAAGTTATCTTGCGACTGCTTTTGCAAAAGCATGTAAAATCTCTGACAACAGTGCAACTGTAACCACGTTGGAAGCAGGACTGTGAGAATTATAAAGCTGTGTAGACCTGACAAATGGGAGCTGCCAAGTGCCAATTGTGAAGCACCAAAGTAACGTACATGCTTTGGTTGAGCAGTTGAACACTTTCCAGCAAGTTTCACTCGTAGCATATGACGGCAGAGAATAACAAAAGAAGTTACACTATTGATAGTAACAGACTCCGTTCACTTTCTGCATGAACATATTCTCTACTTCAGTCGTGGAGGCATTCAGCACAGAAACAGACGCTTCGGCCCAACTTGTCCATGCTGACCAAGTTTCCCAAACTAAACTGGAGCCACTTGCCTGCATCTGGCCCATATCCCTCTCAGCCCTTCCTATTCACATATCTATCTAAACATCTTTTAAATGTTGTAATTGTACTTCTGTCTGGCAGGTCATTCTACACAGGAATCACCCTCTGTGTGGAAAAAGTTGCCCCTCGGGTCCCTTTTAAATCTTTCTCCTCACCTTAAAAATGCACTCCCTAGTTTTGATCTCACACACCCTAGGGAAAAGACCTTTGTTATTCACCTTATCAATGCCCCTCATGATGTTATAAACCCCTCAACCTCCTATGCTCCAGTAAAAAGACTCCCAGCCTGTCCTTACAACTCAAACCTTCCAGTCCTAGCAACATCCTGGTAAATCTTTTCTGAACCCTCTCCAATTCAGAGAGTTCTTTCAGCGGTTGTTGCCTTTTGGCTGGTGTGGAATCTGAAGACTGGACCTCTGACCACGTCACCTTTGTGGAGCTCACAATCACCTCTGTGTTTCGAATCAAAGCCTGTGCCTGCAGGGACTGTGTATAATCGCGGTGGTACTCTCAACCCAGTTGCTTGTGGGCATAGCACTACATCACAATTCAATCTTCAATTAGGTACTGACTGAGGTGGGAATGGCCACTTTAATCCTGGTCCTGGCTCTATGATGTACAGCACATGGTTAGGGCAGGTGGAATTGAGTATATAACCACACTATCTCTAAACTACAACCTTAGCATGTTTTGCCACTTGACTTGCTGCTTGAACACTGGCTACTTACACAAGAAAGATTTCTTCCCTATTGCTGACATCACTCATTGTATAAATACATACATAATTTGCACAATACAGGGCCGTAGAGATGGGAAGTGAATGGAAGATCAGGTAGCTGAGCCATCAAATTATATTTTTGCAGTTTTCTTGATGATTGGAAATATTTCTGAACTTGACACATTAATTTGAAGAGCCAAGAGACATGCCTGGAAACAGCAGATATAAATGAATGAGTAAATTGAATGAATGAATCATTAAATGAATTCTTTGTGATTGGAAAATTCTTTGAACCTTAATCTTGAGAGGTCAAATGAGTGAAACCTATAGTTTGTTCTAGGATGTTCAGCAGAGAACTTGGAAAGAGGGCATGACATTTTGCTAACAGCAGTGTAAAAAGATTCATGTGTATTGTAATGATGCAACTGATCACATGACTCTGCTATCAGACAGCAAGAAGACACCAGTCCAGAATGAGAGTATGAAGAGAGAGATCTTAGACACAACACTAGAGAGCTGTACTTTAAAACCATTATGTACTGATGTAAGTACCTCAGAGCATGGCTCTGTCTGTATTAATGGTCCTGAGGTGGAAATGGTCAAGGAGCGTCAAGTTCCTGGGCGTGACGATCACCAGCAATCGGTCCTGGACCACCCATGTCAACGCAATGGTCAAGAAAGCAAACAAAAGTTTCTACTTCCTTAGGAGCCTAAGAAAATTCAACATGTCAACAAGGACTCTTACCAATTTTTATAAATGCACCATAGAATGCATTCTATCTGGATGCACCGCGGCATGGTATGGCAACTGCAAGACCACAAAAAACTAGAAAGAGTTGTGAACGCAGACCAGTCCATCATACAAGTCAATCTTCCATCCATTGACTCCATCTGTACTTACCGCTGCCTTGGAAAAGTGCCCAAGCCAAACAAAGACTCCTCCAACCACAGTTAAACTCTCTTCCACCGTCTTCTGGCAGAAGATATAAAAGCTTGTATACACGTATGAATAGACTCAAAAACAGCACTTTTTCCTGCTGTTATTAGACTTCTGAATGGACCTCTCAAATTTTAAATGTAATGTTGATCTCACTGTCTGTGCAGCTTCTCTGCGGCCGTAACATTGTCTTCTTTGCTCTGTTCTATTATCCCTATGCACATTGTATGGTATGAGCTGCCCTTACTGCACGCAAAACAAATCTTTTCACTGAACCTAGGTACATGTGACAGTAATAAGTCAAATAATGAATCAAATCAAAGTAAAGCAATGTTACAGCGTAAAAGGAGATGAAGAACCCTACGTAGAGATAAGGAGTAAATTGCATGTGCAGGGACGGTGTAGGTGCATGCACCCACAGCCTTAGATACACCAGACCAGAATCTCAACATGCAGGTAGCAATATTTTCTTAAAACATGAGCCTTTAGAGCTTTTGAATACAAGGGTGTGCAGAGGACCCATTATATGCGTAAATATTTTGATGATCTTGTTCATTGTAAATGAATAACTCATCTCACAGTACTCTATTTTAAACCATTCAGTCCTAATCACTGACCTTTCTGAGTCTTCAGTTCCTTCTGTACAAATCTATAACACTTAATAGTCATCTCCTTTCACTTCTTTCAAACTTGGTAGCATCCAATCTCATCACCGTTGTTTGTTAACGAAAGATTGACAGTTTGGATTGAAGTCACAAGCCGACCAGTCATTGTAAGCAGGGGAAACAAACTGGAAAATAATGAAGTTTGTTCTTGTTTTCAGCAACATTTGTTTCATTAGAATATAACATATTTAACATAACCGATCTCAAGCTTGCTAACTTGCACTTTGGAAGAACTTTGAGAAACAACAGTTGCAGACTTTGTTGCGTGAACAAGTAAAAGTGGTTTTCAATGATGAGGAATCTCTAAATGCAATAAATGGGTATCAGGAGAGGGGCAGAAATTGGAGAGCCCTCAGGTTAAACTTAATGGAGATCATGATAAGACAATTATAATTGTTTCATTCCCTTTTTCCCAGGCGAAGCAATACACTTAGGAAGTCTCATCGCTGCACAAGGATACCTGTTTCCGATTTCAGACCATGTGCTGACGTTAAAGGATGATGGTACATTTTACAGATTTCAGGTGAGTAAGCATATCTCCTTCTCAGAACCAGCAAAGCCTTCTCTTCGATAATTTAAATGTTAAAATGTTTCAACGTTTAACACTATTCCAGTGTTTATTCCATTGTCACTTTGGTGCAACTTCCAGAAAAACAGCACAGGATCCTCCGCTTCTTCCTGTACCGCAGGCCCGACCAGTCCCCCTCCACTGACACCCTTATCCGCTTAGCTGAACTCGTCCTCACCCTTAACAACTTCTCCTTCCATTCCTCCCACTTCCTACAGACAAAAGGGGGTGGCGTTGGGTACCCGCATGGGCCCAAGCTATGCCTGCCTCTTTGTAGGTTACGTGGAACAATCCCACTTCCAAAGCTAGACTGGCCCTATCCCCCACCTCTTCCTCTGTTACATTGATGACTGTATTGGCGCCGCCTTGTGCTCCCATGAGGAGCTCGAACAGTTCATCCACTTCACTAACACCTTCCACCCAACCTTAAGTTCACCTGGACCATCTCTGATACCTCTCTCTCCTTCCTGGACCTCTCTGTTTCCATCTCTGGCAACCACCTGGAAACCAATATCCATTTCAAGCCTACCGACTCCCACAGCTACCTAGAGTACACCTCCTACCACCCACCTTCCTGCAAAAAGGCCATCCCCTATTCCCAATTCCTTCGCCTCCACCACATCTGCTCCCGAGATGAGGCATTCCACTCCCGGACATCCCAGATGTCCTCGTTTTTCAAGCACCGCAACTTCCCCTCCACAGTGGTCGAAACGCCCTCGACCGTGTCTCTCGCATTTCCAGCAACTCATCCCTCACACCCCCTCCCTGCAATAATAACCAAAACAGAATCCCCCTTGTCCTCACGTACCACCCCACCAACCTCCGAATCCAACACATCATCCTCCGACACTTCTGCCATCTGCAATCCGACCCCACTATCAAAGACATTTTTCCCTCCCCACCCTTATCTGCTTTCCGGAGGGACCACTCTCTCCGGGACTCCCTTGTCCGCTCCACAGTCCCCACCAACCCCACCACCCCCAGCACTTTTCCCTGCAACCGCAGGAAGTGCTACACCTGCCCCTACACCTCCCCCCTCACCCCCATCCCAGGCCCTAGGAAGACTTTCCACATCAAGCAGATGTTCACCTGCACGTCTGCTAATGTGGTATACTGTATCCACTGTTACCATTGTGGCCTCCTCTACATCGGGGAAACCAAGCGGAGGCTTGGGGACCGCTTTGTGGAACACCTATGCTCGGTTCGCACCAAACAGCTGCACCTCCCAGTCGTGAACCATTTCAACTCCCCCTCCCACTCCTTGGACGACATGTCCATCCTGGGCCTCCTGCAGTGCCACAATGATGCCACCCGAAGGTTGCAGAAACAGCATCTCATATTTCGCTTGGGAACCCTGCAGCCCAATGGTATCAATGTGGACTTCACAAGCTTCAAAATCTCCCCTCCCCCGACCGCATCCCAAAACCAGCCCAGCTCGTACCCGCCTCCCTAACCTGTCCTCCCACCTATCCACTCCTCCCATCTCAAGCCCCACCCCCATCTCCTACCTATCAGCCTCATCCCACCTTCTTGACCTGTCCGTCTTCCCTGGGACGACCTATCCCCTCCCTAACTCCCCACCTACACTCACCTTTACTGGCTCCAACCCCGCCTCCTTGACCTGTCTGTCTCCTCTCCACCTGTCTTCTCCTCTATCCATCTTCTATCCGCCTACCCCTTTCTCCCCATTTATTTCAAAATCCCCTTCCCCTCCCCCATTTCTGAAGAAGGGTCTATACCCGAAACGACAGCTTTCCTGCTCCTCTGATGCTGCTTGGCCTGCTGTGTTCATCCAGTTCTACACCTTGTTGTCACAGTATCCAAATACTGAGGGACCAGATACATGGCAAACTCCATTCAATCTACCTTCACAAGACCAGGAATTTCCACATCCTTGGAAGCTCATTTAATAAGAGCAAGACTAGGGGGCTAATCTGCCTTGTCCCATCACGGCTAGTGTCATGTCTGGAACCTCTGAATTGGATTGAATTTTCTAATTCGGAAATTCATTTGGATATAGCCTCATAGAATGGGATGCAGGGGTAACCTCTGTGTAGCAGCACATCTGTGACGAGTGTGCCCTCTTAAACTTTTCAGCTTTGCAGCAACCTCGAAAGGCCAGCCAAGCACAAGTCAGTTACTTTAAATTAATGGGGTGTGCGGCTAGGCATAAAAAGTGTGAAGGGCTCCCGCACTTAAGCATATAGTCTGCAACTACAATAGTAATTAATGGGAAAGTTGTTCAATTTTCTCTTCCCCATCAGCGGCTCAGTGCATGTTGATTTTCTGCCCTTTGCAATGTAAGTAGAGAGAGCAGCAGTTGCAGACATTGGTCACCACTGTGGAAATGATGGAGTCTCCCTCAACTTCGTGGTCTTCAACAGCTCTGTGATGGGTATATCTTAGCAATGACACCGGGATGTGCATTTCTTCAGAATGCCTCAAGACCTCTTCGAACTGTTAAAAATAAAATCATTCTGTGCGAGAAGCTGCAAGCTATGTAGAAATAGAGTATTTGTCGGCTTACCAGATAGTTATTATTGCAGACCATTCTGCCCATCACAAGAATCCTTTAGTAGAAGCAGCAATGAGGGAAATGACAGTGTTCTTAATGTTAGCTGTTAATGTATTAAACTATATTTAGGTGAGTAAAGTTGGCATAGTACTAGAAGACCATTAGAGAGAGACCATTGGTGGTGGTTTATCTGGGGGTCACCACTTAGCTGAGGGCTGAGGTTGATAAGGTGGGACTTTCATGGTGACCTCAGCCAGTACAGGGATTGAACCCACATTGTCGGCATCACTCTGCATTGCAAACCAACCCTCCAGCTGACTGAGCTAACTGATCCCATTTGGTATAGTATCACATTTCCATTATGAATATTGACCTGAAACATTCAATGTTCATCAGTTTGTTGCTTTTAAAGAGTATTGATAAGAGAAATAGTTTGGAGTGCAGTTATTTAATCAAACCTTTATCCACAGTTAATGAAAAATGCAAGTGATGTGAAATATTAGTACTGCAGTTGGCTGGCAGTTTTGGCCTTTCCTTCAATTCTTCAGCCACAAGGTGCCTTTAACTATAATGTAGTGGCTTCAGTAACTCTGGAGACCACAGATCACATTCAGATCAGACTCAGTAAATGTCTATTAAAGATCATAAGGGAAGGATGCATGCTATTGTGTTACTGCTTTAAGGGCTAGGTTTTGGACTGTAGAACAATGAAAGAAAATCAAAAGGCACACAGCAGTTTTACCTCTGAAGTTTTACGTGGAGTAGTCTTAGAGGCTCGCTACCAGAGACAGCAAAACTGACCACACATCATGGGACACCCATCCCTTGCATTGGTTCATTAACACTGCAATGCAGTGATGGCAATTCTGCATGGAAACCACAAATTTTTATCTGATAGGCACAAATGGATCAGCCTTGGCAGGACTGCCAGCTTGTGTGGAACTCAACAATGTGACTATTTAAATAAAACCACCAAGATATCAGTTGCAGAAGAATACGCCAAGAACATTTGCATTGAGTTTGCGCATGACATACAACAAACATACCCAGAAAGATTCAATGCCAGAGGAAACTTCAAATAGGATTCTGTATTGCACCTCAAAGAAAATGCAACTGTGACAATCAACCTGCCCGGAAAATGCAGTGTTCACATCCAAGAGAAGCTTAAATGTAAGCCAGACAAGCTGTTGTATTCATCAGCACACTGTGTGTAATTAAATGCCTCGCTAATGAAAGATGGCATAATCAGAGTATGTTTGGATCCAAGGTGTCTAAACATTTCTCTAAAGTGATGCCCACACAAAATTCCAATATTCACAGGAGTGAAATTATACATTTGGATCGAAAAGCCTGAGATAAGTGTAATTCAATTATTTAAACATGCAAATGCTGAGATAGCCAGATTTTGAACTGGTAAGGGGATCAAGGTTTACGGAGAAAAGGGCTAGCAATGGAGCTGAGGTTTATCAGGTCGGCCTTGATCTCATTGAATGGCAATGCTGACAATTTCTGCACTGACCTAGGTGTCGATCTCAGAGCAGGTTGCTAGGGTCTGGAGCAGTGGCCTCACCTGGCAGTCCTTTAGGAAGAAGACTGTCCTCTTTGCCACCACCCTTTTGACCAGGATCTCCCTGTCAGTGAGATGCAATTTTTCCCTTCTCCGACATCTTCTGGAAATATCCTCGATTGAGCGGGCTGCTTCAGAATGCTGGTGCGTGACTGAGTGCACAGCAGCCTGTTAAAGGCAGGGGCCTCATGGGATCCCAGTCTTTCAGAGGATATCCGCTGAGTGGTGAGTTGTTCTGGGAATGGTGTGCGGTATGATGGAGCTGGAATCAGACACGAGGTATGCCTTAGAACAGTTAGTTAATGAGTGAGTTTGGTAAGGCACAGTGAGATAGCTCACCAGGCCTCACCACCGAAATCCTTCCAAAAAAAAAACCCACACTATTCAGACTTAGCCAAACAGCATAAGGTTCAGCCCAATGAGTGCAATATTCAGTCTGAAGCAATCACATCTGACAATGGACCACACTGTGTAGAATCAAAGAATCCCTACAGTGTGGAAACAGGCCATTCGGCCCAACAAGTCCACACCAACTCTCTGAAGAGCATCCCACCCAGACTCACTCTGACACTCATCCCTGTGACCCTGCATTTCCCATGGCTAACGCACACCAAACCTACACATCCCTGGACGCTATGGGCAATTTAGCATGGCCAATCCACCTAGCCCGCACATCTTTGGACTGTGGGAGGAGACCAGAGCATCCACAGTATACCCACGCAGACAGGGGAAGAATGTGAAAACTCCACACAGACAGTCACCGGAGGCCGGAATTGATTCCAGGTCCCTGACGCTGAGAGGCAGCAGTGCTAACCACTGAGTCACCATGCCACTCCAATCTGCAAGACCGTAAGCGAGAATTGTACCCCTAGACCAACGAGCTGTGCCTTGGACGCCCCACTAATAGCAAGTAAGATTCCAACACGTACAGGTTGAGAACACCCAATAGTAAAGGCCAGGTCTCCAAAAGATTAAACCATCACGAGATCCAGATGATTAAACTCATAGTTTTTTGAGTTCTTAATTCTGTGTGCAACTACCTAACGTACACATATTTCCTCCGTAAATGCGTGTTGTTTAACTCAGAAAAATGTGGGCTGTTGTATTACTGCTTTAAGAACTGATTCAATGAACCAAGGACCAAGATGCAACACATGACCAGCAGCTACGATGAGTCCAAGCTGCAGCAGACTAGAATAAGTATGCGTTCGTAAGTTGCGCTGTAAATGATAAGTTAACAGTTTGCCTGTCGAGTAAACTTGTTTGAGATTTCAAGTAAATTGAACCTATGCTACTTACCAATCCAGTGAGAAAGTGGTAAATCCGTGGTAAAGAAAACAACGCAAGAGTGTGACATGTATATCATTCAAAGTTATAAAGATCCAGTTTAAATCTTCAGCTTGTGGTGAATTAGTTGATCTCAAACAAATGAGCAACAGTGCATTAGAGGTCCTAAATAAAAACATCACACCAGGTTCAGCCCAATGAGTGCAATATTCAGTCTGAAGCAATCACATCTGACAATGGACCACACTATGTAGAATCAAAGAATCCCTACAGTGTGGAAACAGGCCATTCGGCCCAACAAGTCCACACCAACTCTCTGAAGAGCATCCCACCCAGACTCACTCCCTGTGACCCTGCATTTCCCAGATTTCACCAGATTCTTGTTGAGGCAGCAGAAATCTCATCAGCTGGAGATCCAGTGAGAGAGACACATTATCAGGGAAGGCACTCCAAATCTAGTGTCAGTCAGACATTGGTAAGGACAGTAGCAGGCCTTTGCCTAGAATTGAGACCCTAGCAAGGAGTGGTTCTTAGCAGATAACCCCCTGCCTGTGTCCAGTCCCCAAATCAAAGACTGATTGCCTTTGATTGAGGGCAGTATCACATAGCTGACAAGAGGTCTTAACAGATTGATCTGTTGTGTATGTCACATGGTGACAGGCCTGCTGTAACTGGTCTCATCCCAGTGGTTGTAAACTGAGGCCTACAAATAGTCCTTGATCGGTCACTAACATGGATCAGTTGGTGATGGGACAGAACCTTGACCGTGAATGTTACTGCCCTAAACTCGAATCCACGGAGGTGAGAAGGTGGGGCCCGTTTAAGATGTGCATCCACCTAAGCCTAAAGAAATGTCCTTCCTGCCTTCAAGCTGACCACCTCCAACAGCAGAGGATTCTGTGCCATGTTGATCTTTAATTCAGTAACTCGGGTGAAATGACAAACCCTACAATCCTGGGCAAGCTCATATTTAAGAAAAATGAAAGCAGCAAACAAAGATTAAATGTGAAAAGATAGTGGGAGGGAGTACACTCACGCTGGTTGTGTCTCACTCAAGATGTACCCTCTCCCATCTGCTCATGCACGAAGCTTACTGATGGTGCACTTTGAGTAGTGCCTTCCTTAAATCGAGCTGGGGTGACTCAAACTGGTTAAACTTCAATAACAATCAACACCTATTGAGGTGCTAGTCAGGCTTCAGGTGATTGACAGTTCACTACCACTCAGTCAGCTATCTTATTAATCTTTTAACTCGACCACTGAACTTTTAAAAAAAACAAAGGAAGACCTTCCAGTTCATTGCCCACTGCCCATTGTTCCAAATTCCCAGGTATGCACACTTACTCTGTCTATGTCTCACTCAGGGTATGCTCTCTCCCAACTGCTCATATGCAAAGCTTACTCTTCAAGGACTTGCTATTGCCTGTAGGTGACTCCTTCTACACTGAATTCACATATTAGAACATAGAACAGTACAGCACAGTACAGGCCCTTCAGCCCACGATGTTGTGCCGAACTTTTACCCGAAACCTAAGGTCTATCTAACCTCCACCGCTACCTTATACTATCATCCATATGCCTATCTAATAGTCACTTAAATGCCCCTAATGAGGCCGACTCCACTACCCTCTCCGGCAATGCATTCCACGCCCCTACCACTCTCTGAGTAAAGAATCTACCTCTGACGTCTCCCCGATATCTACCTCCTTTCACTTTAAAACTATGTCCCCTCGTAAAAGCTACCTCCACCCTAGGAAAAAGTCTCTGGATGTCTACTCTATCTATGCCTCTGATCATTTTGTACTCCTCTATCAAGTCACCCCTCATCCTTCGTTGTTCTAAAGAGAAAAGTCCTAGCTCTCTCAACCTTTCCTCGTAAGACCTTCCCTCCATTCCAGGCAACATCCTGGTAAATCTCCTCTGCACCTTTTCCAAGACTTCCACATCTTTCCTGTAATGAGGTGACCAGAACAGGACACAATACTCCAGAAGTGGCCGAACCAGGCTTTTGTATAGCTAGAGCATAACTTCACGGCTCTTGAACTCAATCCCTCTATTAATGAAAGCTAACACACCATACGCCTTCTTAACAACTCTATCCACCTGGGTGGCAGCTCTCAGGGAACTGTGAACATGAACCCCAAGATCCCTCTGCTCCTCCACACTGCCAAGAAGCTTTCCGTTAACCCTGTATTCTGCTTTCAAGTTTGTCCTTCCAAAATGAATCACCTGACACTTTTCAGGGTTAAACTCCATCTGCCACTTCTCAGCCCAGCTCTGCATTCTATCAATGTCCCTTTGTAAACTAGAACAGCCCTCCGCACTGTCCACAATGCGACCCACCTTTGTATCGTCCATGAACTTGCTAATCCACCCTTCCACTTCTTCATCCAAATCATTTACAAAAATCACAAATAGAAGAGGACCCAGAACAGATCCTTGTGGTACACCACTCGTAACTGAGCACCATGTTGAATATTTTCCATCCACTACCACCCTTTGTCTTCTAAGGGTCAGCCAATTCTGAATCCAATCTGCCACATTTCCCCCTATCCCATGCCTCCTTACCTTCTGCACGAGCCTACCATGGGGAACCTTATCAAACGCCTTACTTAAATCCATGTATACCACATCCACTGCTCCACCTTCATCCACGTGTTTGGTCACCTCTTCAAAGAATTCAGTAAGGTTTGTGAGGCATGATCTACCCCTCACAAATCCATGCTGACTATCACGAATCAAACTGTGCCTTTCCAAGTGATCATAAATCCTGTCTCTCAGAGCCCTTTTCAATAATTTGCCCACCACTGACGTAAGACTAACTGGTCTGTAATTTCCGGGGTTATCCCTCTTCCCTTTTTTGAAAAAGAGAATGACGTTTGCCTCTTTCCAATCTTCCGGCACTATACCCTGCGGACAGTGAGGATGAAAAGATCATCGCCAAAGGCCCTGCGATCTCTTCCCTCACTTCCCATGGAATCCTTGGATAAATCCCATCAGGTCCGGGGGACTTATCTATCTTCAACTTCTTCAGAATTCCTAGCACATCTTCTTTACTAGCATCAATCTCCTCTAGCCTACCTGCCTGTTTCACAACATCCTCCTCTACAACTAGGTCCCTCTCAGTTTAGAATACTGAAGAAAAGTATTCATTAAGGACCTCTCCTATCTCTTTAGGCTCTGTGTACAAATTCCCTTTACAATCCTTGATCGGCCCTATCCTTTCTCTGGTCGTTCTCTTGTTCTGCACATACGTGTAAAAAGCCTTGGGTTTTCCTTGATCCTATCCACCAAGGTTTTCTCATGCCCCCTTATCGCTGTCCTAAGCCCTTTCTTCAGCTCCTTCCTGGCTAACTTGTATCCCTCTAGAGCCTTTTCCGTTCCTCTTTTCCTAAACCTTACATCAGCCTCCTTCTTCCTCTTCACCAGTCGTTCGACCTCTCTCGAGAACCATGGCTCCCTCACTCGACCGCATCTTCTCTGCCTGCTAGGGACAAACATATCGAGCACACGCAGTATGCATTCCTTAAACAATCTTCACATTTCTGTGGTGGTCTTCCTTGACAGCATCTGTTCCCAATTCATGTTACCCAGTTCTTGCCTAACTGAATTGTAATTACCCTTCCCCCAATTATAAACTTTACCCTGCCATCTGTACCTATCCTTATCCATGACTATCATGAAAGAAACAGAATTATGATCACTACCACCAAAATGTTCTCCTACCAACAGGTCTAACACTTGGCCCGGTTCGTTGCCAAGCACCAAATCCAAAGTGGCCTCTTCTCGTGTTGGTCTATCTATATACTGTGTCAGGAATCCTTCCTGAATGCACTGGACAAAATCTGCTCCATCTAAACTATTACAACTAAAATGTTTCCAATCAATATTTGGAAAGTTGAAGTCACCCATGATTACAACCCTGTGACTTCCGCACCTTTCCAGTATCTGCCTCCCAATCCGCTCCTCTACTTCTCTGCAATATTAATTAAATTCCTAACTTCACGCTCTGTCTATGTCTCACTCAGGCTGACAGTCTCCTCTCTGTACAACCTTTACTCCATCTTCAGTGCAGTAACAAATAAATCTTTCTTACAGGCTCCATATTTTTGGCCATCAAACTGCTGGGAACCGGAAAACACAGACTATGGTAAGTCTGCCTTTTATGAACTTTTCTGAACCATTGCTGCAATAAGTCTATCAGTTCCTTTAATATTGCTTATGAAGGCAGAAACATAATGGAAACTGAGGAATAGGCCTCCCCCTCGCTGTACTATATTCCCGTTTAACTTGTGTTATTTTATGCTCAGTTTGCTGTTTCCTTCCTTCAGAACCAAATAAACATTGTGCGATACATGTATCCTCTGCCCTCCTTCCTGAATTGAGTTTCTATACATGATGCATGAACAAATATTCATTCTTCTCTACCTGATAGCCATTAATCTATATTTTTGGAGACTGGTCTCCCAACATGGAAAATCACTTGACAGAAGCACACATCAAAAGACTGGGCAGGATGCCTCCTCTCCTGATTCTAAGTGCTCCCCGGTATTCCAGATAATATTTTCATAATTCATCACACATCAGGAATGTAAACTCATACCCGCAAATCCTTGAGAATTAAACTGTATTCCACCAGTCTTCAGAACTGCACTATCAAAGTTCAATACCCATTACTGGAAATCAGGTCAGTCTGAAGGAAATTTTACTGAGCAGGACCAAGAAGTCTTACAGCTATTTCAATCATTATATTACTCATTGTGTGTATATTTTTAACATTGTATGCATATCGATGAAGGAACTATTGATAATTATCTTGTATTATTTAGAACTGGTTTCAGTTGAGTCACCTCTGACTCTCCTGAACCCCTAAACTGCCTAGCCTCTCCTCATGAGGCAAATGACTCATTCCAGGAATTAGTCCAGTAAACCTTCTTGGAACTGCTACCAATGCATTAACATTCTCTGAAAGCAGGTTGACCAGTATTGTCACTGAACATATTTAAGAAAGAAACAAATACATTTCTAGAGGTTATAGTTGTCAAGATCTATGAAGAGAGAGTGGGAGTACAGATTTAAGGTAGAGGATCAGCCATGATCAAATTGAATGGTGAAGTGGCCTCCTGTTCCTAATTTTTATGTGTCTATGAGAAATAGGAGTAGATTATATGGCCCCCTCAAACATTTGCCCTTATTCAGTAAGACTGGTCTGATTGTGGTCTGATTACTCCACTTTCCTGCTTAAGCCCCTTAATTCCCTTGATAAGCAGAAATCTGTACATTGAACATATTCAGCGATACAGGCTCCACAGCTCTCTGGTGTCGAAAATTCCAAGGATTCACAAGCCCTTGAGTGAATCATTGCCTCCTTATCTCCATCTTAAATGGGATACTCATTACTTTCAAATGATGGCCTCTTGTTCTAGATCTCCCGCAAGGAGGAGCATCCTTTCATCAACTACCTAGTCAAGTCCCCTCAGAATCAAGATCACTTCTTCGAAATTCCAACAAGTCTAGACCCAATGTGTAGAACCACACCTTATAAGAAAACCCCTTAATTCAAGGAATTAACCTAGTGAACATTCTTTGAACTGTCTCCATTTCTACATCCCTCCTGAAATAAATAGGAACTTTGAGGCGCCAGAGGTTTCAAGAAAGCTGCTGTGTGAGAAAAAAATTAAGTGCATTGGGCAGCCCATCAGGAAGCCAAGCTTGTGCGTAACATTGCAACACATTAATGAGTCTCAAAGTATTGGGTAGTGTCTAGAGACCATTGTGTTTAACTGGACCCCAGTGGTCGCCTCCATTGACACCACAGCAGAATCCACCATGATGGAACACCTCATGACAGTTTCTATGACAGCACAAACTGGAAACCCAGTCAACTGCCATCTTGGCATTGGAAACTACTACTTAAGAAGGTTTGCAGATTATCACATTACTCTCATTCTCTCTTCTCCAGTGGAGCATCAGGAATGCTGAGGCAGCACACTGAGGAGAATGAGAAGCACTTGTTGCACTCCTTCAGGGTGTTAATTTGACTGCTGTCTTGTAACCTATTCCACCAGTGTCCCAGATGGTGACCCATCTTGACTGTAGCTTGAGATGGTGCAGTCTGAAACAGGGTCCTCGAGCTGTGGAAATGTTTGAGGGCCCCACCACAAACACCACCTCCAGCCTTGAGGAAGGTCCCTGGAGGAGCACTGGGATAAGTTGGCAAGCACAAGACAGGCATTGAGAATGTACTGAAGGGTCATCAGTCATTTTTTGTTAACTTAATGGGTGAGATTTTGCATTATCCATAACCTAAGTTATAATCGGACATAAGTGTTTGATGAATTTGTTTCTCTTTCTTCTGGATTTGCTACTGATGTTTAGTTTTCAATTGTGAAGAGAGTGCTATATTCAATAGGCAGAATTTTAGAAGCCTGACCCAATGTGTTTGCAGGCACCTTGCCCATAAAATTGTCTGAGTGGTCTTCATGCCAACGAAACTGACCTGTTCTCAATTTTATAATGGTCAGGTGATTCCTAACCCCATTTGAGGCCCTTAAGTAGTCAATTTAAATCCATTCTATCAGAAATCTGCATGTTCTACCACCCCACCAACCTCCGGATCCAACGCATCATCCTCCGACACTTCCGCCATCTGCAATCCGACCCCACCACCAAAGACATCTTTCCCTCCCCACCCTTATCTGCTTTCCAGAGGGACCACTCTCTCCGTGACTCCCTTGTCCGCTCCACACTCCCCTCCAGCCCCACCACACCCGGCACTTTTCCCTGCAACCGCAGGAAGTGCTACACCTGCCACCATACTTCCTCCCTCACCCCCATCCCAGGCCCCAAGAAGACTTTCCACATCAAGCAGATGTTCACCTGCACATCTGCCAATGTGGTATACTGCATCCGCTGTACCTGTTGTGGCCTCCTGTACATCGGGGAAACCAAGTGGAGGCTTGGGGACCGCTTTGTAGAACACCTACGCTCGGTTCGCAATAAACAACTGCACCTCCCAGTCGCGAACGATTTCAACTCCCCCTCCCATTCCTCAGACGACATGTCCATCCTGGGCCTCCAGCAGTGCCACAATGATGCCACCTGAAGGTTGCAGGAACAGCAACTCATATTCCGCTTGGGAACCCTGCAGCCTAATGGTATCAATGTGGATTTCACAAGCTTCAAAATCTCCCCTCCCCCTACCGCATCCCAAAACCAGTCCAGCTTGTCCCCGCCCCCCTAACCTGTTCTTCCTCCCACCTATCCCCTCCTCCCACCTCAAGCCGCATCCCCATCTCCTACCTACTAACCTCATCCCGCCCCCTTGACCTGTCCGTCCTCCCTGGACTGACCTATCCCCTCCCTAACTCCCCACCTACATTCACCTTTACTGGCTCCATCCCCGCCTCTTCGACCCGTTTGTTTCCTCTCCACCTATCCTCTCCTCTATCCATCTTCTATCCGCCTCCCACTCTCTCCCTATTTATTTCAGAACCCCCTTCCCCTCCTCCATTTCTGATGAAGGGTCTAGGCCCGAAACATCAGCTTTTCTGCTCCTATGACGCTGCTTGGCCTGCTGTGTTCATCCAGCTCTGCACCTTGTTGTCTCTGTTCTTCCTGCTTGCTGCATTTAATCTGTCTCTTATCAGCTGAAAAGTTTACCAAATGGACTGCAGTGGTTTAAGAAGGCAGATCGCCACAATCTTCTCAAGGGCAGCTAGGGATGGGCAGTAAATATTGGTCCAGCCAGTAACACCCATATCCTGTGAATGAATTGTTGAAATATAGAATGATGCATGGCTAAATTTCTACATTCCACACATACCAAAGGATGTCATGTAGCTAGTCTCAGCAGGTATACCCAAAAAGAACAGTTTCCCAATTAACCATCGGGGGGGGGAGTGTTTCCAAATCTTTTGAAGGTAATAGAAATGTCAAAGGAAATTGCCATAATTACATAACAGACACCAAGAAAATCAACCGCTATTATATTGTGGATGCTACAAATCAACCAGGATTAGCGACCAGACTGAAAAACCATCCAATGGAAGTGTTACAACAACTTGTCATTCACAATGCCATCCACTCTCAGTTCTCACGGGGAGACGGCCACATCTTTCCAAACAAAACAAATCTTGGTTTGTTAATTCAATACATCCAATGGTACCATATTGACCTTTACAATTTACTTCTACGTAGCTTAACTCATCAAAGGAAAAGAATTGAACTTGCTTAGTTCAATATGTAACCTTGGGCTATGAGTATTAGTGATAGGATTGTTATAAAATGCGTGACAGACCATTAAATATCATCGAATTTTTCACTTGAAAGAAACAAGTTACCGTATGAAGTACAAATGAAATCTTCACTAATAGCATGATGAATGAAAATACTTCGATCAATTTTTTTGTGTGCATCATTTCTGTATACTGTATAATAGCAACTCCCACGGCCAAAGTAGAAAAGACTAATTAAAATCAGAGTTTTCTCTCCAATAAATCGATTATTCTTTCTCATGTCTTATATTGCATTCCTTCTGAATTTATAAATTGCATAGTCAAGATGCAAATCAAGTTGAAATTTTATTTTGCGGTAAACTGCATGGAAACTTATAAAATTAATTTTTACCAAGGCAGTAGCTTTTTATGAGATAACTGCAAATCATGCCAGCACTTTTTATCTCAGCCATGTAGCTCATTTGTCAGATAAAAAAAGATTGCTTTAAAAGGGTATTTCACTTGATGAAAAGTTTTCTGATTACATGGAGATTGCCATCCCATCTCAGAGAGTGAGAGAGCCAGATGGACATGGAATTTTGTTTCTCCTTCTGAGTTTTTTGTCTATCATTGTAAGATTTCCCTCAGGCATCTGCAGGACCTGCCTAGGTCCTTTACCCTTGCTGCCATTTGGAGGTGACTAGTTTCTGACTGTTTCCAACACCACTCTTAGCCAGCCCCTAAAAACTATGCAAAACACGATACGAATTAGGAGCAGAAGTTAGCCATTTTGCCCGTTGAGCTTGTTTTACCATTCAATAAGATCATGGCTGATCTGGTTATGCCCCGAATTCCCATCTACCCCAATAACCTTTAATTCCCTTGTCTACTAAGAATCTATCTATTTCATAGAATCATAGAATCCTGAGATGGGATGCTCTTCAGAAGGTCGCAGTGGACTCAATGAGCCAAATGACCATTCCCAATCACCCTACCCTATACCTGTAACTCTGCATTTCCCATGGCTAATGCACCTAGCCTGCACATCCCTGGACACAATGGGCGACTTAGCATGGACGAACCATCTAACCTGCACATCTTTGGACCGTGGGAGGAAACCAGAGCATCCAGAGGAAGCCCACGCAGACATGGAGCAGGGGAAATGTGCAATTTCCACACGGACAGTCGCCCAAGGCTGGAATCGAACCTGCGTTCCTTGTGCTTTAAAAATTTTAAAGATCCTGTTCCCACTGCCTTCCACTTCAAAACTGTACAGTTCTCTAAGAGGGAAATAAAAACTTCCTCATTTCTGACCTAAAGTTAATGAAGTAGGCATTAGTTAATGCAATTGCAATCAATGACAAATCTCCATGTATCTCACCATCCACTCCATCCAATGCTCCCTGCTTATAACAAGAAGTCAGACATTGGTAAGTGTCTTGTAGTCCACCAAATAAAGACATCAGTAGCTTCTTTCTTTCTTCTAAAATACCATACAATTTCCATAAACAATCCTACTTTCTGCTCTTTTAAAACTTCAACTGATTAGATAATGGCAACACTGGAGCAAAGACAAAATCAATCAGTCAACAGAATCTGACAAATCTGCAATGAAAACTTGCCAAAGTCAAACCTAAACAGCATTCTCTGGGGTGAAGATGCACCCAAGCCCCTTTGGTTCCCACTGGTCTGTAAAGGCCTGTGAACACCACATGCTCCCTTTCAATGGGCGGTTGTGCACATCCATAACCATGAAAGTGAGGTAATGCTCCTTTCAGTAGTAGGTTTAACAATCTGTTTGATTAGTTGTACAGTGATAGAAGATCGTGAGTCTCAACAAGAAATGCCTTGGCATTCATCGCAACAACAAGCTGCAGTGTTTTGCATGACAACAAATAAACCAGTTAGGCAAAATTACAAAGACTATCAGGAACCTGCGATGATACATCTGATGCCATTGGGATATAGAGCTGAACTAATTCTCCAGTCAAGACTGTGTGATATCACCAGACTGGGTAGCTCCTAATGCAATCTCTAACATTAACCCTTTGGGTTCTGAGGAAGGGTCACCGGACCTGAAACATTAACTCTGTTTTGTCCTTCCAAGATGCTGCCAGACCTGCTGAGCTTTTCCAACAACTTCTGTTTTTGTTCTTGTTTTAACCCTTTGGGAACAGACTATGTCATCTCTAATTTCGTGAAATCAGTATTTACTGACCTTCCCTATTTCAACGTTTCCCTTTAAGCCTGTTGATGAATACACTAAATTCATTACCTGACTGATCAGCTGAGGCTGTCTTATCCACTTCCAAACCAGTTTGTGCTATATGTCATGGACAGATTGCAAGTTCTAAAATGAATTCCAACCACTTGTCCCTAAGGACAAGTCGTGACTTTATTTTTCCCCTTTTTAGTCCGTGATGGTATATTTCCCTACTTCCTCTGATTGCAAAGTATGACTTTGTAAGGACCACAACACTGTTGTAAAATTAGTGCAGAAGGAGGGTTTGTTTCACATATTCTGAGACATGGGGACTGGAGGACTGGGAGGGTTATTTCACAACACTGGCCCACTCGCAAAACATACAAATTGAAAAAGGATCAAGAGATTAGTAACATAATGAACTACTGAGGGATACCAATTTAACAATGTCCTTGCTCTCAAGATGGAGTCTAAAAGCCCAAAGCTGGAGTCAGCAGTCTAGAATTCCTTGTAGGGGATGGTTAATTGGCCAGCAGGCAGTTCAGGAGTCATGGACTATTTCTTCTCTTTAAAATTTCTTCAAAGATCTTCTGACAAATATTGCTGAAATTTCATTTCTGTTTTGCAGTTTTGATGACTTTGCTGGGCTAATTCATTTCTATAGTTTTACCAGGCTCTTTGGTTTGACGTTGAATAGCCAAAGTGGAAACTTCTCAGAATCTACCTGGCAACTCGCCGGACTCAATTCCACTCAAACTCATGTTGCATTTCTATATGTTGACCATTTGTGACATCTGTTAGGACATCCCCTTTGGAACCTTCCACCTATTTCAATTCAGAACCACAGAATCATTACAGTGCAGAAGAAGGCCATTCAGTCCATCATGCCTGCACTGTTTTCATTACCAATCTCCTACCCTTTCCCGATATCCCTGTACACCACTTTTGTCCAAATAATCATCCAATGTCCCTTGAATGCATCAGTTGAACTTGTCTCCACCACATTTTCAGGCAGTACATTTCCATACCCTAACTACCCACTGTGAAAATGCTTTTTTCTCACATCACCCTTGCTACGTTTGCACATCACTTTAAATCTATGCCCTCTCATTTTTCTTCTTTAATGAGCAAAAGAGCTTTTCCCTATCCACTGTATCCAACCTGCTCATAATTTTGAAAGCTTCAATCAGATCTTATGTAAGCCTTTTTATCACCAAGGAGATCAGTCCCAACTTCTTCAATCTATCCTCATTACTAAAGTTTCTTACAGCTCATGTACAAGTAGTCAAAATAATATGACTCTCTGAATGTTAGGTCCAGTTAGCCAATTTTAGGAGAAGCCGTTTTGTTCTCTAATCATCGTCCATTGTTCTGTCCTATCATGCAACAATTTATCTTGCCACTCATGGTCTAGATATTCCCCTACTCTTTACGGGGACTCCTGCTGCAGATCTGTATGACAGCTAAGCTCGTCAACTAATGCAGGATCCTCTGTGGGAAAACCAGGTAAATGAGAGTGTCACACACTTATTGCCAAAGAACGTTCACAAATATTTTTTGTAGATTTATTCAGTTTGTTAAGAATTGGTAGTCTCCTGCAAACTGAATGCAGTTTTTTTTTGAGTAAATGGCAATGTGCAAGATGACCATGAATGTTTATCTCATTGTTGACACTGGTGAAGGCAACAGCCAATGAATTAAAATGTTTGGAACTGGAGAAATTCATGTATCCTAAAAGCATAATTAATTATTTCATCCTTTCTCACTGTCACAGCGATCTACCTGTGCAAGCGGACAATGCAGAATAAAGCAAGACTGGAACTTGCAGATTATGAAGCCGTAGGTATACTAATTTTATAATTGACAGTAGACAATTGCAATGCCACACAACTGTTTTGAAAACTACATCATGGATTCCAGTCAGTACTTGCACTAATGTATATCAGTGATTCTTTTAAAACTAAGGCAGAAACCTGTTTTCTGTTTTAACACAAAACTATTCATTCTGCAGGAAAATTTGGCCAGGTTGCAAAGAGCATTTGCAAGAAAATGGGAGTTCATCTTTATGCAAGCAGAGGCCCAAGTAAAGTATGTAACTAATAACTTTATGAATATTTAAAACAAAAAACCATTGGGAATGTGTATGTGCGAGCTGTTCTTACATGGCCCTGCTCATATAGTGTGGTTCTGTGGTCAGGTATTCTGTCATAGGGGAATTCTTGGAACACATCCTAAGCTAATTGCAGCCTAAAGCAACAAGTTTCTCATGATTCTCAATAATTTTCTTTTTTATATTAAATAGAAACAAAAATAATTGACACATCTGTCCATTCATTTTTTGGGATTATAATGCAATAATTCATCGATGAATTGTGTAAACAGCTATTTGAAAATAATGGATGCTTTCAGAACGTTACTGGAAGAAACAATTTCAAAGATGTAAATCATTTTAGTACTGGCATACATCTCAGCTTGTGCCAAATGCTCACTGAAATTAGCTCTTTCCTGAATACACCAGCTGATTACATTTTATTGTCTACTGTTTGTGAAGATACTAACCTTAAAAAACACGTATTCCCACCTCATTTGAAAGGGCAGTATTTTCAGTAGAATTTGAGAACTATGGACACTGCAGTTTTCCTGATGGCAGTTTGCTTGATTTTCTTCCGTACAGTTGGGTTTCTGTGTCATTTAACTATTTAGAGAGAGAAGCCACCAGGAAAGCCTTGTGTGCTACCTTAGCTCATATCTAAGAACAAGAATTTCACAGTGTCTATCCATCATTTTTGAAATTGCTGCATGCCACAAGGAACATCTAAAGATGGACCAAATGAAACAATATTTCTAATTAGAATATTAAGTGGACAAATGTATCTTAATGAACGTGTACTCCTTCAATTTCCCCCATTGGCCAATCAGGACCCCAGAGCCCGGCACCACACTTCCCTCAGGTCTCACATGCCGTTCCCACTGTGCAGTCCCTGCACACTTGCTTAGTCCTGGATCCCAGGACTTGTAGTGCGTTAGATCTTGGTTCACATACATTTCATAAAGTTTAAATGTGCAAACTGTAGTGGAAATTATTTTCACTAGGGCACACATAAAATATTTTATACATAAAAGGATTGAGAGTATGATGGAAATAATGAGATAATTACTCTGGCCATGGTTTATAGAAAGCAAGAAAGTGACCATAATGACTGCGATCATATTAGCACAATATCAGCTATTTCCTGCAGGAACAAAAACAGAAAATAACTGAACTATTCTGAAGAAGGGTCACTGGACCTGAAAAATTAACTCTGCTTTCTCTCCACGAATGCTGCCAGATCTGTTGAGTTTATTTTCCAGCTATTTCTGTTTTTGTTTCTGATCTCCAGCATCCGTATATCTTTGGTTTTTTTTTGACATACTGCAGAAACTTATCATAAATTTAGTTATTGAAAATTGGCTAACAGAGTGATTAAATCTGTCACGCAATGTAAATATCTTATTTCCTACTTGTAAAACATGCTGGGTGAATTCCACCCAACATTTCTGAAAAAGGGTCTCGACCCGAAACGTCAGCTTTCCTGCTCCTCTGATGCTGCTTGGCCTGCTGTGTTCATCCAGCTCTACACCTTGTTATCTCTTTCTTCAGTGATGCTTTGCATATTCCCAGTTGGTGTGAACCTTTCTAGTCAAATTATCGGGGTGACATTCAACTGACATTTCCCTTGTGCTGGCCAACACCACTCATCCACGCTCTCCTCTCCAGCCCACTATACTGCATAATTTCTGATAGGTGACAAATTGAAACCACGCTGCCTAAAGATGAAAAGACCCAAGCTTTCAATGTCAGTGGGATTCTCAAAAGAGCCTCTCCTCAGATCTTTCTAAGCTCAGATTTTAGGTTTTACTCTACAATGTATCCACTGCTAGATTAAACATTCCGACAGAAGGTGTTTAAGGGGAGGAACACTATTTGGTTAAGTTGGACTCACAGAAAATGGCTTAAATGTGCTTGAAACCAAGTCAAGACTTAGGTGTGCTAGCCCATCTTATTTTGGCAGAAAAGTCTCTGATTTTAATGATCCATTGAGATTTTAGAAGTTTTCTCAGCAGACTGCTCAGAAATGTTCTTACGCAGGTGGTAACTGAACCGTAGTCTCTTGGTTCAGAGGCGGGGTTGCTGTGGCACAAAAGCCCCCATCAGGATTACATTGTAGCTTCTTCAATTATTACGTAAGCTTTTTTATGATCAGCCAATCAAATAGTAAAATTCAAGCCCTGGCTTGATTATCCTGACCTAAGGCAAGCCTTTCAGCTTTGGACCCAGACACCCTGCAGTGTTAATTTGAAAAGATGTTCTCCAATTTAGTAATTTAGCTATTTTGGTGGATGCAAATTAAAAAGAATGACAGAACATGGAACTGCTCATTCTTTGTAGAGCTCAGAAAGACATGGATTACATTGTACATGTTCTGGGTTAGGGTGATTTTATGCCATTAATTGCCACAGATAGTGAGAAATACGTTTATGAAACTTACTATCGCAGCTTCGGAGACTGTTGTTATTGCATAGTTTAAACACACCTGAGAAATGCCTGACTTGTAAATTCAACGTGCCTTTGGAAGTTGATATCATCTTCTTTTAGAATTGACAGGAAAAAGGACAAGACGGAACGTAAGATCCTGGACAGCCAAGAAAGAGCATTTTGGGATGTTCATCGACCTGTTGTGAGTATAATTAACCTTTATCTGTTTGATGTAATTGCAGAGGCTATTGTCTAGCACAGTACAACTAACAGGGCACCTCAGCTGTAGGAGCTTGTATCAAAATTGAGCCATGCTCAGCACTTGAAATATTTTTACCATTAATTAATGAAAGTGGCCAGAAAATCACATACTTAAAATTTCAGGTTTGCAGTGGTGACAGATGAGGCTCCTCAACAAAGGGACGGAATTGTATATTGACCGTGTACTGATTTTCGCTGCACTCTGATCCTGGTGACTGTTAATTTGCCTAGCAAGTGATACTAAATCCATAATTTCTCAAATGTTTTATTGAAATTACTACTTTTTAAAGTGTGTATCTGTGTCCCTTTAATACCTCAAGTGACTCAAAATGAAAGCATCTTCTGAACTAAGGTAAAAATCATGGCATACCTGAAAATGGTAATCAATCGATCATCAGTTAATGAAACAACAAACAGAGGGGAAACATTTATTAATTCATACAGAAAATTTAACCTCCGTCAAGAACTCCCTACAATGACAGTCTTCATAAATGCAAATTTGTTCTTTTGTCTGGATGCATATTCACGTTGTAAGTGTAAAAATTGCGAAATTTAATTGCAAATTGCAAGTCCTGAACAGCAGGAAAGATTAGATAAGGCAGATACTCATTTTGTCATTGCTATTTGCTTCAGGCCCAAGCACCCATAATCTCATCTGCTGCTTTCTCACCATTTCCCTCTGTGCAGGACTCCATCTAAATGTACCTCGCACCCAGTTACACTGCCTGCCAAAGTATCTTTTCTTGGTAGCCACCACAACAATTTTCCTTCAGATCTACTTTATCTCTGAATTCCTTCTAAGCTCTGTCCCCTGAAATTTGAATTTTTCAACATGGTGACCAATTTTATCCAGATCAACATAGTCAATTCCATTCTCCATTTCAAGAAAACTCCATTGAGGTTGCCTGCTGTCATTGTGTGTGATTAGAGGCATCTACCGGTGTGTTGTCAGTACTACAGGCTAGGGAGAAGGGAAACCAGCGAGATCAGCATCTGGTCACTTGTACTCAAATTGCTGGGTAAGGACAGAATGAGCAATGAGCTCTTTATACTCAAATGACCAGCTCTCATTCACTGTCAAGCCCCAGGTATAAATAATGGCTGTAAGTTGTGGAGCTGATCTGCAGCTCTGATGTCGTATCTCAGGAATATAGAAGATGGCAGATGGATGAAGATTAAAATTGGAAAGTAAACTCTGCAATGAGCAGCAGAATGGCTAAAAGCCCATTGAGATTCTCACTGTCTCTCTTTTAAAATCCCTTTTTATTCTCCTTTCTGCAGCCTGGCTGTGTGAACACTACCGAAATGGACATCAGGAAGTGTCGTAGGATGAAAAACCCGAACAAAGTGAAGAAGGTGTGTTGTTCAAGCAACCTTCCCGTAACTCACTCCAAGAGGAAATGTTCAAACTTTTGTGGAACTTCATCAAAGCAAATTTCTGTAGTGGTACCTTCAGATTAAGTTCTGTTTAAAGTCCATGCTGTCTCTCAATGATGAAAAATTGTGAAGGAACTTGATGAAAACAGCCTACAATTTATTTCTCTGAGAATTAAAATGTAAATGGAACAACCATAATTAAATAACCCGTCAAATAATGGGGTGAATTCTCCTCCAAAGACTTAGAATCGTAGAGTTGTACAGCACAGAAACAGACTTTTTGGTCCAACTTATTCATGCATACCAACCATCTAAATTAATCTAGTCCCATTTGCCCTTCCTATTCATGTACCCATCCAAATTCCTTTTAAATGTTGTAATTGTACCAGCCTTCACCACTTCCCCTGGCAGCACATTCCATACACGCACCACCCTCTGCGTGAAAAAGTTGCCCCTTAGTTCCCTTTTAAATGTTTCCCCTCTCACTTTAACCCTGTGCCCTCTAGTTTTGAATTCCCCTATCCTGGGGAAAAGACCTTGGCAATTCACCTTATCCATGGCCCTCATGATTTTATAAACCTCTGTAAGGTCACCCCTCAGCCTCCGGCGCTCCAGGGAAAATAGCCCCAGCCTATTCAGCCTCTCTGTATAGCTCAAACCCTCCAACCCCAGCAGCATCCTTGTTTGATTTTTAAAAAGAATGAAAGAACTTCAGCTGAGAAATGCATGCCTACAGATGTGTAACGTTCTCCAACACTCGATCTCCAGTTTGTGCTAGTGTTAAAGTGTATTTTAGCATCCCATTGACGTAAGACAGAAAAATAGCTGGTATCCCTGCTGTTAGTTGTTCTCCAGTATTTCCCTATCAGAAGCAACTGTTGTTTGATGATGATGGATGATAATAGGACTATGATGACTCTACAGGTACGTAGCCCAATGAAGCTCACAATCTAAATTTGAGCATGAAGTCTGACAACTTAGATTAAGTAACAGAGGGTTTCTGCCATCTGTGAGCTGTACTGTAGCATTGGAGCTAGCGTTTGGAGTCAATGGGGTCCAAGATGTTGAAAAGAAGTATTCTGTCCTGCCCAGGTTTGTTTCACCAAAGCTTTGAATTTTTCATTACAAAGCAGTCAATGTTTGATATTAAAATAGAAATGCTTTTTGATTAGGCAAAAAAAAACAATAATCTCCGTCTTGCCCATGTTTGTGCAGCTGATATCGAGAAGTCCAGAGAGGAAATGAGAAGATTTCTGTCAGAAGCATATGGTTCTTGGTTTCACAATAAGTAGTCAGATTGAGCACAATTAAATTTGAACAAATTGGCAAGCCTACTGAAACCTTTTGAAAACATGTGTTTAAGAATGCAGAAAAGCTGTATAAAAGAAGAGGAGATTCATTCAGAGGACATGGTGCGTTGCCATCAATATTGGCACCCATTTTACATCCACAATATTTCTGCCTGCCAGACTGTCTTGGCAAACATGGAGAATGTTGGTGAGTCTCAGCTGGTCTGATAGTTTCTTTGGAGAGGCGGGGATATCTTCCACTGGAACATAGGAGGTTGAGTGGTGAGTTAGAGAAGTTTATAAAATAATGAGTGATATAGAGACAGTTAATGGTAGTTGTCTTTTCCCTAGGATGGGGGAATTTCAAGACTGGGGGGCACATTTTTAAGGTGAGAGGAAAGAGAATTAAAAAAGACGAGGGGCAAATTGTATACACAGAGGGTGGTTCATGTGCGGAATGAACTTCTTGAAGAAGTGATGGATTTGGATACAGTTACGACTTTCAGAAGACATTTGGAAAAGTACATGAATAGGAAAGGTTTGGAGGGATTTGGGCCAGGAGCAGGCAGACAGAACTAGTTGAGTTTGGGACTGGTTGGACCGAAGGGTCTGTTTTTGTGCTTCATGAGCAAGAAACCAAGTTAATGTTTCTAGTCCAATAAGACTCTTCTTCAGAACTGTCTTAGCTGGAGGGATTTAGTTTATGGATTGCATGTTGGCTTTTTAACGTTGTTCAGATGTGGCGGAGGATTATGGCCTCCAGCCTCATATTAGATCTTGTGTGTGAACTGTAGGCTGGCAACCCTTGTGGTATTGAATGCTAGATTGTTACAGCAGCTGCTCAACTGAAATGTTATACTAAATTCTCATCTTCTTATTTCAATGGGCCTTAGAAGGTATAATGCAAGTATGCATTGGGGTGCAAAGTGCTTCCTGAGGTCCTGGCCAGCATTCCTCCCTCAAGCTAATAAGGGGGAACTAGTCATTCAGAGCTGAGGAAGGGTGACCACACCCATAACGTTAATTGATTTTTTTTTCTGCACAGATGCTGCCAGACCTGCTGAGCTTTTCCAGCAACTTCTACTTTTATTCAAAGCTGTGGTTGTGTACAGATCATCTTGTTTCTTCATTAATAATTCATTTTTGAATTCACATTGAATTAATATGTGCAGTAACGTACTTTGCGAGTGCATTGATAAGACCCAAGCTTTTTGAGGTGCTGCCTTAAGTTACTTGCTTCCAGTTGCATGTTTAGACCATGTGGTTCTTGTTTTATGGCAGAACTTGAACGTGAAACAGGGATCAATCAACGCGATACTGACACTGATTTTTTTTTTTGTAATCAGTCGGTGTATGGGGTTTCTGAAGACTCACAGACACACAGTCCTGTACATTCACTTGCATCAACAACTAAGCAACCTGCAAAAGACGATCTGAAGAAGCAGGTAAAATAGGATTGGAAGGAGCTTCTATTCTGTATGTAATATTCCATTGTAAATGTGGACACTTAATAAATCAATAGTCTTTCTTAGTTAACTGTGAGCCAAACTTTCAAATGGCCACAAATAAATCTTTGAGGCAAAATCTGAGTGCACTGGTATCAGAGAATATGTGGCCTGCCCCTGGTCAGCTTTATTAGGCTGCGATAAGCTATTCTGAATTGTGGCTTGCTGCATGCAATTTGAATTATTTTTATTCCTAGATGGGGTCTGGGCCTCACTGAAAAAGGCAGCATCTATTGCCCAGCCCTAGCTGCTGTAGATTAGTTGGTGTACAAGGCCACATTACTGTGGATTTTGAGTCATGTGTGGGTCAAACCAGTTACAGATAACAGGTTTCCTTCTCCAAAGGACATTAGTGAACCAGATGGGTTTTTACAACAGACAATTATTGTTTTATGGCTACTGTCACAGGGACCAGTTTTCAATTCTAGTTTTATTAATTAAATTAATTTAAGTCCCACCAGAGGGGTTTGAACTTCAGTCCTCAGAATGTTAACTTGTGTCTCTGAGTTACTAGTCCAGTGACACTTCCTGAAAACCAGAGTCTCACGCTTAAACATGCTGAATGCGATGTATAGATTCCAGGGTGTACTGTGCTTAGGATGCGTTAACTGGACTAGCATGTAGCTTCACTTAATTTTATGCATGTCTTAAATGTTATTTCTTTCTCTTTCCAGATCACCTTATTAAATATCCAGCTAGACAGACATTGTTTAAAAATGTCCAAAGTAGCTGAAAGGTAAGTTTTTCATTCAGCAAAACTCTGTAATAATCTAGACAAGGATGATGCCAGAATTGAGAGGTTATAACAATCAGGAAGGAATTGACAGTGTGGGGATGGTTTCTTTATAATAGAGAAGAGAATGATAACCTTCCAGAAGTCTTTAAAGTTATGAAGGCATTAGGGACATTTAAGCGACTCTTTGATAGGCACATGGATCATAGTAAAATGTACGGTATGCAGGGTAGTTTGAACGTTGGAGTAGGATAATAGGTCGGCACAACAACATGGGCCGAAGGGCCTGTACTTTGCTGTACTGTTCTGTTCTATATGTTCTATTTGTAAAGCCAATAAATGGACTGCGAAGATCGGATGATCACTAACAAGACAGGATAAGATAGTCATGAATAAATACAATATGGACTTTTGGACAACCTTATAATCCAATGAACGTGTTAGAGCAGGAAGTGACTGGGGTGAATAATAGAAATGAATTTACAGGGGAACTGGATAAACACATCAGGACAGAAAGAATAGGATACTGTGGATGACATGAATTAAATGGAACGAAGTGGAAGGAGGCCTAATGTGGAGCATAAATGCCAGCATAGACCAGTTGGGCTGAATGGCCTGTTTCTGAGCTATATGTTCTAGTAAGTAATTGTTTACTCAGGATTCTCCCATGGCCATAGCCATCGTAATACTGGGTGTTTATTTTCTTTTGTGTTATGAGACTTTATGGCTCCCATAAAATGAATGGAGGATTGTCTATATTGGATCCACATATCCTCCCATTGGGTGCTACCAATGGTGGAACTCTGGTCTCCACTCACTGGGAGTGTGTGGAGTGACCTTCTGATGTGGAGGTGAAAATGCTAACACTAAGCTAAAAACTTGCTTTGTTGCAATGGTACATGTGACTATGACTTTGCATTGTCCCCTCACATATTGGTTAGATACGTTTTAATTTACGCCTCACACTAATAGTAAACCAAGCAAATGCAAAAAAAAAGCCATAAACTGGGGTCAGGGTAAATTGATCCTGGTGAAACTCTGATGGTGGAATGAGCTTCATTGCATTGTAAGTAGTGTAGATGGAAGTACTAAACTACACAGGATATTTATCGCTCAAGTGAGTGAGCAAAACTGTGATGAATGGATTTGATTGTGGGCTAAAGTGAGATTATCCCTAAGGGTCAAAAAAGGATGAAACAGAGGACTAAGTGGTGAAAAACTGGAAACAGTGGAGGTCCATGGAGACTTGGTGGTGTGAGTCCACTAAAATGTCCATTAAATTCATAAAATGGTCATTAAAACAAATTCTGAAAGTAGTCAATTCGGTGAATGGAATGCTGACCTTAATAATTACAGGAGTAGACCACAAGTCGGTAGAGGTCATGCTATAGTTATATTATCCATCTGCGAACAACCATCCCGCAGCACATGGACTGCAGCAGTTCAAGAAGGCAGTTCATCACCGCCTTCTACAGGGGCAACTAAGGATAAGTAGCAAATGCTGAACCAGCCAATGATGCCCAATTCCCAAGAGTAAATAAGAAAAGCTCGGGGAGGGGGATGTAGTGAGATTGGTAGAGTGAGAGCCCATAGTCAGTAGATAGGGCACCAGTGACTCTCATGAGGGTTTCTGGAGGGCTGTCCCATATCCTTTGACCCAACCAACAAGCAGGATTAAACTTCCTTCATTTCATTGCTATGTTTTCTAAGGCCTGGAAATCCTGACTAGCAGCAATTAACCATACTTTGTACTTTGAGAGCCTGAATTAAATCCGTTAATGAAATATCTTGTCTCCCCAAAGAGGTGCACTCATACCACATGCTGTGTTTAAACAGGAAAAAAAAGTGACAGGTTTAAATATGGCAGGCTGCCTTTGCATTGTGAGTGTTGTATATGATTTCAACACCCCCTATTCAAACCTGTGAGTTTGCAGTTAATTGTGTTAATGTTAATTGTCCAGCCCATTCCCACACTCTCTGGCCTCGGCTGTTCCAGTGTAAGAGAAACTTGAGGAACAGCACTTCGCCTATCAATTCTGCATTTTGCAGTCTTCCAAAACAGCTGAAGATTAAATTTAACTGTTACAGATCATAGCCATTGGTCCTACGTTCTTTTGGATGGCAGCACTTTAACTTTCTGCTGTCATTGTTTACATTTCCTCTAGACCCATCTTTTCTCTCTTTCATTTATATACCATTTGCATTGCTTCCTTGATCCATTCGCCATGCTTTCCCACACTAACACTGACCTTCCCTGTTGTCCTTTCCACTTTCCTTTCCCTGGCTGTATACTTGTTTTCTTAAAAGTTACTACTTTAATGTTTTCCAGTTCCGTTGAAATTTCAATGACTTGAACTGTAAACTGTATTTCACTCGTGACGGAATATGGCAGATATGAGTATTTCCAGCTTTGTCTGTGTTTGTTTCCGATTTCTAGCATATGCAGCAGTTTCCCTTAGCACTTATTGTTGCATTGTTTTTTTTCCCAGTTTGGTCAGTTATGCAGAGCAGTATCTGGAATATGATCCCTTGCTAACACCACAGGATCCACCTAACCCGTGGATCAGTGACGACAGCACATTCTGGGACATGGAAGCCAGGTAAGAGAGGAAGTTTGGTACTTGCTGTTGAAAGAAACAGTTAATTAAGTGGAATGGGCACTCTTTCTCTCCTTTTCACTTCCCTTGTCCTCCTTCTATTTTCTACTTGAAGTTTTATTGTGATATCAACCTGTTATTTATTAGAGACCTCATTTATTCCTTGATTTTGTTCTCAACGTCTTTCATCATTCTGGGAGTTCTAGCTTGGGGGGCCGTTCTTTTCCCTCCCGAAGAAAGAGGTTTTCTTCTGCTCCCAGTTGATACTTCCTTGAAAATCTCCCGTTGGACATTTTTTGTGCCAGCCTTTGTTTCTAATCCCTTTACAGCCCATTGAAAATATGCCTGTTCTCTGATGTGCATGCACCTTTAAGGAAACCTAAGTTAAATGATTGTCAATCACTACATCTCGACAGAATTTGTGTTGGTCCCATTTCTTGACCACACTTTGAAGCATCCCCAATGTAAGCACATTTACGATATCCAGACCCCAGTAAGCATTATCTATATATAGCCTCATTTTCAAATAAAGAACTCAGACTGTTACTTCACCTGTCCATGTGTGTGATTTGGTGCATTCATGTCTCAGAGAAGAATGTAATACCTTACAGTTCTGTAACATTGCCTTTGATTGCTCTTTCCTCTGTTTAATAACCCACTCTAAATCTAATGATATTGTGATCACTATTTCCTAAACGTTCCCCTTTGAAATGTGTACTCCTTCCTACGTCATTCCCTAGAACTAAGTCCAACACGTTTTCGTTACTTATTAGGCTGGAAATACAAAGAGCTAGGAAGTTCTATATTACATATTTCAGGAATTCTGTCCCATCCTTGGCATTTACATTGTTTTTCCTCAGTTTATACATAAATAATTTCAGGCCCCCATTGTCACTAATTTGTCTTCATCACTTTCTGCAATGTGCTGACAGGTTTGCTTCTCCTTTGGTGAAACTGGGATGGGGCAGTTCAGGATTGAGGGTAGAGCGGGTTGAAAGTGGCTGTGGTTAAGAGAGCTCGAGAATGGTGATCGGGGTGGGAATTAATAGGGTGTTAATCCAAGGGGAAACTGGGAGTAGCAGTAATAAGAAGGCTAAGAGTTATGATCGTGGATGAGCTGTTATGTTTGGCAATACCAGAAACAGGGTGCATCATAACACCAAAAGTCAAAGGAGCTGAAATAGACCACTCAGCCCATCTAGTCTGCTCCACTTTTCAATGAGATCACGGCTGATCTATTAATCCTGAAATCCATTTTCCTGTTTTTTCTCCATAACCCTTGACTCTTTTCCTTATTAAAAATCTGTCTACCTCAACCTTGATTATCCTTAATGACTCAACGCTTGCTGCCCTCCATGGTAAAGGATTCCACAGATTCACTACCTTCTGAGAGAAGGAATTCTTCTTTACCTTTGTCCTAACTGGGTCACCCTTCACTCCGATTATGCCCTGTGGTCCAAGACTCTTCCGCAAGGTGAAACAATTGCTCCACATCTATTCTATCAAGCTCCCTCTCATTCTTCTAAATTCCAATGGGGCGCAGGCCCAATCCACTCAACATCTCCTCATAAAACAGGTCCTCCTTACTTGGGATCAACCTAATGAACTTTCTCTCTCCCAATGCCAGTATATCTTCCCTTAGATTCCCTAGAGGTTTGAGAACTGTTCACAATACTTCAGCTGTGATCCAATTAGGGCCCTGTCAGGACAAAGCAATCTTGAGGTTTATTATCAGAGATAGTAGGAACTGCAGATGCTGGAGAATCCAAGACAACAAGGTGCAGGGCTGGATGAACACAGCAGGCCAAGCAGC